ATTGAATTTACTAAATTATTAAATGAAATAATAATTTATTTACTAACAAATTATTTCTCTTACTCTTTCTCTCCTAAGCCCAATATGTAGGGCTGTTAACAAGTTGAGTCTGGTTTGAGATAGTTTGCACCAATCCCGTCCCAATAATAAATAAACTTTTATTTATTTATTTTACTAAATTAATTAATTAATTAATTAAGGGTTGCAAACGGGTTAGATTGAGTCTTTGGGCTATCTGCACACTCTTGGTTGGGCTTGGACAAGAATTTAGGCTTCAGACTCAGACCCAAAACACTAGGCCCGACTTTTTTTTTTCGAGCCTAAGCTGTCAACAAGCCATCAGGCTACCCTATATATTGGCCTATATATGTACATATATAATATATGTATTATGTTCTACATGTAATATATGTATTATTTTATATTAATTTTTTTTATTTGTAAAAACAATACTAAAAATTGCAATTTGATGCCAAAAAAGGGTTTTTTGTTTTGAGAAAATAGATGGGCAAGGTGCCTATGGCTCCTTGGGATGCATAGATTTTGAAAAGTTATCCCCAAAATAAAAAAGAATCACCTCAATCGAACATTGGAGTGCAAAGTTATGGCCTCTTGAAGTTTGCATACACATTTAGTGTGCAACCCATAACCCGGTCACCGGGTCAAATGGGTCAACGGTCCAACCGTTCGGGTCAAAGGTTTTTTAATCAAGTTAATGATTTTTTACCTCCCTCCGGGTTTTACTCAAACTAGACCTGGAATCTTGATTAGATGATGGTTTGAGTAGTGCAACTGGTTGGGTTTGGTTAAAAAGTACAATTTGAGGGCAAAAAAGGGTTTTGGAAAAAATAATCACCCAAAATAAAAAAATCACCTCAATTGGACATCATAGTGCAAATTTATGGCCTCCCAAAGTTTGAATACACATTTAGTGTGCAACTTGTGACTTGGTCACTAGGTCAAACGAGGTAATGCTCCAACCATCCGGGTCAGATGGTTTTTTAGCAAGTCAACGATTTTTTACGTTCCACTGGGTTTTACTCAAACCAAACCTAAAATCTTGACTAGGTGATGGTTCAAGTAGTTTAACTGATTGGACCAAACCCAACCCGTTGACAACCCTAAATTTTTTAGTTTAGTCTTAAATTTTTTATTTGTAAAAAAATTAAATATTTCAAGTTTGCATACACATTTAATGTGCAACACATGACCGATCACTGAGTCAAACAGGTTAACAGTCCAACCGTCCAGGTTGGACGATTTTTTACCTCCCTTCGGGTTACTCAATCTGGACTAGAAATCTTGACTAGGTGATGGTTCAAAAGGTTCAATTGGTTGAGTTCAACCAAGCCCAACCTGTTGACAACCCTAAACATTTTTTAGTTCAGTTTTAAATTTTTTATTTGTAAAGGCATATTCAAATTTACAATTTGAAGCTAAAAATGGTTTTTTTTTTCTTGCAAAAATAACAAGGCAATGCACCTATAGCTCTTTGGGATGCATAGATCTCAAAAAGTTACCCAAAATAAAAAAAAAACGTTCACCTAATCGGACATCAGAGTGCAAAGTTACGGCCTCTTGAAATTTGCATACACATTTAATGTGCAACCCGTGACCTGGTCATTGGGTTGAACAAGTCCAATCATCTGGATTGGATGGTTTTGACCAATTCAATGATTTTTATCTTTCTTTGGGTTTTACTCAACTGGACCCAGAATCTTGAATGGGTGACAGTTCAAGTGGTTCAACTGGTCGAGTTTAATCAAACCCAAAGAAATAAAATGAGAGAAAGAGAGAGAGAGAGAGAATTTTTAGCAAATATGAAAGAGGTAGAAGTTTAGTGGCATCATTTTAAATAGTTAGTAGTGGCACCATTATAAATAGTTAGATGTTTAGTATCAAATGTGAATGAGAAAAATGAGACTTGACAAGTTACCATTGTATTCAATGATATCAATGTAATTAATTAAATTTTTAATGATAAATATGAAACAAATTTCACATGCCTTGGACTCCACACGTGCAAATGCTTTTTACTTTTTTCTCATATAGCTAGTTTCCTCTTCTTATGCCCCATTATATATATATATATATATATATATATATATATATATATATATATATATATATATATATATATCACATATGCACCCCACATGCACATCCCAGCATGCATTGGTAAAATATCCCGAATTGGGGTGTTTGTAGGGCACAAATGTGAAGTCATTAAAGCATGCCTTTGCCAACTACTCCACAATTCATACATTATATGGAAAAGTACACTGCACTACACTGTAGAATTCTGAATTCCACTGCAACTTTATACAATTCAAAATGACAAACACTCCATCCTAAAACACCAATACCTACCTGTGTATTAGCGCTGTTCACGGGTCGGGTTGGGTCGATTTATTGAGGTTTTTCCAACCGATCCGATCTGGTCGAGTTATCTGAGATGGAAACCGAAACCGACCTAGTATTAAGCAAAACCGACCTGGTCGGTTTGAGTCGGGTTGGGTCGGTTTCGGCTCTAAGTTCATCCATTCCCCCCATGACCACCTATTTTTCTGAAAATATATTTAAAACTGAAATATGTATTTTAGAAATATATATATATATATATATATATATATAAACAAAAATGTACATACAAATATATTGGAATATATATTTTCAGATATTTCAGTTTTTAATTAAGTAGGAACTAAGTCGGTTTGGTTCGAGTCAGTTTCGGTTTTCACATAAGAAAACCGAAACCGACCCAAACCATTGGTTTATGAATTTGTAAAACCCGAAACCGACTCGGGTTGGGTTGGTTTGGTCGGGTTGGACCTTCTTATGAACAGCCTTACCGTGTATTAGCATCAATTTCGAATTGGCACCTACCCAACTGTACCGTGAGGCTAAGAATTCTTAAAGTGTGCTGAACAGTCATTCTCTTTACATTTTATGACATGCTACTCCAATTGGTCGATGGGTGTCATGTTAACAGACTAAATACATAGTAAGTACAGATGGGATTAGCTGCCCACATAGCGTGCCTCATAGGCGCCCTGCAGCCCATCACCTCCCTGCATTGGGAATATTTCCCCCATGACAAGCATTGGAGATGTTCCCAATACACGGAGAGGATGGGCTGTGGGGCGCACTCAGTGGGCAGCCGATCTGATCACCAATAAGAATACAACAATCCATTTTAATACGTCAGTCGCATTGTAGATCCGATTTGAATTGAGAGTGGAGTCTTGAGAGCGGAGACTCGAGGCTATTAGAGGATGCTCTTGAAAAAGATACCACCTGATTCGTTAGAAGTTCTTTTGGTATCATAGTGTAACCCTATTTTCTATCAAAATAAGCATAGCATTATTTTATTACCATAAGGTTATTCAATTAAATATATGCCTTGAGTAATGTTGGATTCTTAAAAATTCCTAAATAAAACGAATTCGCATGGGTGCCTTTTTAGGGCGCTCCCTACATCTGCCTCACAACACATTTTCATGTGTATTAAAAATATCTTCCTAAGACAAGTATGAAAAATATTTTCAATGCACGCTGAGATGTATATGTAAGGCACCGATCTGAACTCAAACCAAACCCTTGTGTAATAGAGGCAGGGGCGGAGCCAGGGGAGCCATGGCCCCTCTTATAGTTCAGAAACTCTCCACTTAATTCCTATGTAAAATTTTCCCTCCCCCACTCTCTACCTCAATGGTTGGCCCTTCATATGGTTCAGAAATTCTCCACTTTCTAAGTAAAATTTTCCCTCCCCCCACTCTCTACTTCAATGATTGACCCCCCTATGGGTCCATTCATACTTGATTTAGGTTTTACCCCCTTTATAAAAATTTTCTAGCTCCGCCCATGAATAAAAACAGGTTAATATATATAGATATAACCCATCGCTGGCTGAAAGATTCCCGATCGAAGCAACATTTGTCGGATAATATGAACAGGGAGCCTCTATGAATGAAGGAAAACCATTCATAGGAAAAAGAGCTAGCCTAATCTTCTCTAACAGGATATACCTGGGATAAGATGTTCTAGAAAATGGATAATCTTGCTAACCTTGAGGTATTACAATATTTATGTCAAGTGGGCCGGGGTCCACCAATCAAGTTCATCTGCATTCACACTACTTTTCTTATAACTCAACAACCCTTTTCTAAATAGTGGTTTAGACAATTTATTGTAACCAGCAACCACAGTTTCTTTTTATTAAAAACAAATTTATTAATGGGTAAACTTAGTATATATAGTGGTTCAGAAATAGAAACATCAATTTGATGAATCCCTAGTGTAGCTTTTTGCATAAACATGATTTCTTCCTATATATATATATATATATATATAATTTTTTTTTTTTTCTGAAACACTGATATACTAAATAGAATGACAGATAAAACACCACAATACCAAATCACTGCAGTAAAATCAGAGATTCATAATCTCTGTAAATTTATCCCAATTTTTTGCCTGATCTTCTAGGTGGGACCTATTCAATGGTGGGTCGTGATGCTCAAATAAGGGAGCACATAGTCTCGTATCCTAACTCCTTATTCCTGAGATTTAGCCACACATATTAATGAATCATGGACGATGATCAGTGTGGTTTTCAATTTCTTTTTCTTTTTCATCACCGAATAACTACAACCCATGATTGCTTTTCAATGATGAAGAAAAAAGAAATTGAAAATTTCATCAACGTTTATCCATTCTGGTCCCCGCAGAAAGCCTTGATTGCTTTCTATTTATTGAAAAGCAATCATTAACAAAAAAAAAAAATGAATAGTCCAAATTCTGTTTTTTTGTTAATTTTTTATTAATATTAGGATAATTGATAAAGAAAATTAGACGATATTTAGAAGGATATTTTTATTTTTTCAAATTCTACTTAATAGATGATTAACGATAAATATTAAATTAACATATTTTGAAAATCTAGATATTAAATTATTGAGTTTTAAAATTTGAAGATCAAAATGATATTAGACCCAAAATACAGGATACTAATCAAAAGATTTCCCTGAATTAAAAAAAAAAAAAACAAGCTGAAACAAAGAACATGAGTCAAAATCCACTACTACTCATCATCCTTGGACGACCCTGGTTGTGCCATCCGAAGTAATAACATTAATTTGGCTGGTTTCTAATTATGGACTTCCAATAGTCATCGTCCCATTCGTCTCGAAAACCTTCCTGATGGCTCCGAATATTCTTGACAGCAGCAGAATACATCTGTTTCATCCATTCCTCGACGGGTGGCAATCCAACCTGAGCTGCAACCCAGTTTTTATATTCAAACTGTCACAATATGCATCACAAACAAAATCACGGAGAAACAAGGATGTATCAAAATTTTGCACACACGAAGCATTTCATCACAAATAGAGATAAGGATTAAAATATCAATATGATACGTTCGATATGAGATACACTATGCAAGTATATCCTATTAGTCGTACATACCAGTCTGATACGTGTCGATACAGAAGCGTATCAACTATGGTTTCAACTAATGATACAGTACTTCGCAATAAAGAAATGAGAGTAGTATGACTCAAATCCACGTTGCTCAAAGCACCTGATGCCCAAGCGCGCATTAACCACAAAGCTATTTGCTGTTTTGTATTAGTAAGTGTAATAAAATAAGTTTTATTAAACTTAATGTTTACTTGTAAACAAAAAACAACATACCTTTATTTTCAAAAATTTCAACTACAAATTAAAAAGAACATTATTCAAAATTAGTATTTATAAATAAATGGAATAAATAATTTATAAAATCCACATATATATATATATATAAAATGAATTTTAATTTTAAAAATTTATGCAAATAAAATATTCATAATCAAATAATTATTTTAATACTTAAATTTTATATATTTTCATATGGTATATATCTTAAATTTTTAAAAATTATTAATTAATATTTTAATTTACACTAAATAACGATGTATTTATTATTTACAAAAATAAAAGTATTGTTTACAAAGTATTTGAAAATATAATATAAATTGAATCTATCAAATCCATTAATCTACATTTTATATTAAAAAATAATTTTTAACTTCAAAATTTTATTAATATAAAATATTAATAATGGAATAATTATTTGAGTAAGTAAAATTTATGAATTTTCATATGATATGCATTTCCAAAATTTTAATAGATTTGATATATTTTAAGTAAGTTAAGATGATATATTTGTATAAATTATTAATTGATATTTTAATTTGCATTTTATAATAACATATTTATTGTTTACAAAAATATAAATATTATGTTTTGACATTAAACTTAATGCTATTAATATATTTATGGAATTTGTGTGTATTTTCTTAGCGTATCCAAGCGTTTTCATATTTTTCGTTTATATCGATGCGTTTCCCAAACATATCGATATCCGTATCCAAATTGTTCGATACGATACCCGATACCGATACTTTAATTCTTGGAGAGAGAGAAAAAGAGAATTGAGATTTCAAATCATACCGCATCCATGTCCAACATATGAGTGTAATGCTTGGGTCTCCCCATCTCCTCCATACGCTGGTAGAATTCTTCGACGGATGCCATCATCTCCTCTTCCTCGGGCAGTAGCACCTTTCCAGATAAAACTTGTGCTATCCACTTGGACTGCAACTCAGCTGTTAGAAAGGCGATAACCTGATGGCATCATATAATTATAGAGAAAACCAGTCTGTTAGCTTTATGTATCATACCAGCATGCAGCCGTTGACAAACAAAAATGAAAAGAGGAGAATGTCTAGTACAATGGACCAGGTTCATCCAACAGAACAAACCCAGGAGACGCCAGCACAGTCAACTGGGCCAGAAACCAACTCAAGCTCAGAATACCAAGACCACAAAACAAAACAAAAAAATCAGACCCAATAAACGAAACTAAACCCAAAGAAAGCCCGGGCAGGCCCCACCCCCTACCCTGGCCGAAGATAAAGAAACGACAACCCGAAACACAAAATATTCAGGACAATTCAATGAACCGGGACCAACAACATATTGGATTGTTTATTAGATTGGATTGGACCTGATTCATTTATAATAAATTTATATTGGATTGGGTTGGATTAAGCCAATATCTGATCTATTGATATATGTTAAGAATATTGGTGTCAATAGACTGGGTTTAGGTTGAAACCAACATAAATTAAAACAAATAATTTAAACAGATTAAGTGGTTTAGATATTAAATTGGACCAATCCAAAATATTAATTGAATTGGACCTGGTCCATTTGTAATGGATTCACATTGAACTGGATCGGATTGGACCAAATCCAGTCCAATTAATTGACACCCCTAAGCACTTGTATGTAAAGAAACAAACCTTGTTAGGTAGACCAACAAAGGAAATCCAAGGAGCTAAACATGGTGGAAAGACATGCTTATATAGAGGTCCAACACGGTTGTCCTCAACAGTTACAATTCCAAACTGCATCATAATCCAGACCCATATCATCAATTAATCCAACTACATTCCAAATAAATTAAGTTTCTATTTTTTTTCCCCAGCTTAAAACGGACTAGGTTGTTGAAAGAATTGAAAACAAAAGAGTAGACGATAAAGGATATGACCATACCCAGTGCAATGGAAAATGACATCCGCTTTCACTGAGGATCCATCATAAAAGGCAACCTTACTATCTTCATACACGCACTTTATCTGTAACGTGATTCAAAAAAATTTAAAATAAAGCGAGAAAATTTATGATGCAGGAAAAATATGATATGGGAAGAATTTTGATCAATCAAAATCCACCCATGAATTTTGATAAATAACACCTGATTGGCTATATCACATTTATTATACCAGTTGATTGGTCAAAATTTTTTTAGATATATCATAATAGAACCTAAAAAAAGCATATATTTCTGAAAAGTATGATAAAATGGAGGAACTACCATGTGATGCTGCCATATATTGTCATAGTTATGTAGTTTTCCAACTTCAACATTTGGAGATCTTGATGTTAGGTGGACTTCTTTAGCAGCTTTTGAAATTTCTATAGATATATCATAGGCACTAGCCCCTTTTCCAATTAAAACCACAACCTGCACGAAGAGCCAAAGTACATGTTTAATTAAACCAAGCTTGGCAGTTAAAGTATGTCTACTAATAAAAGGGACACTATATAATATAATTTTATTGTTCAGTTTAGATTTACAATATGTTATCAAATTAAACTTTTAATATCTGCATCATATATCTTTTTTCATTTTCCAAAACCTTATACAATATATCCTAATTATCCATTATTAATATTAGGTTGTATTTGTTTTTGGTGTAAATGCGAATCAATATTACACGTGTTTGTTTTCATTGTAAAAGCAGGCCAGTGTAAAACTCCATACCCAATATGTTATTTCATGTGTTTATTTTCAATGTAAATCATCTAATCGACTGACTTTTCCATTGATAATCGATGTAAATAATATATCGATATAAAATCAATGTATTATCACATAAAAACTTCAACAGTCCATTCAAAATTTAAACCAATCGACCGACTTTTCCATTGATTGACATTTACACCGATGATTTTTTTCCATGGTTTTCAAAACTGGACCAGAAAAATCGGTAACCGGTCAGCCCCCAGGTCCAGTTTTACTAAAAATCGGAATTTTCTAAAAACCGTTGAAAAAGTCAGAAAATCGCTGACCCAGGCGATCGGACTTCTAAACCGTTTGACCTGGGCAACAGTTCGCAGGTTACTCTTTTTATTTTCAATGTTTTAAATAAAAAAAAACAAAAAATAAAATACCTACTCCCCAACCCAATCGAATGTTTAGTCCCTTTAGCTTTAGGGTTTCCTACTTAAATTGGCACTCTAGTCAGATTGTGAGATTGATGGGCCCGGAGGCCCTGGGTCTCATTCTAACTGGACCGAGCTCGAGCAATGAAGGCCCAGATGCAAACTGTGACAATCTGGTTAACTCGTTGATGTCATGGAGTACGTAGTTACGTACCAAGAATATCAGCTGTTCGAGGCTCCGAGTTATGACCATTACAGATTACAACGGCCTGAAACACCTCCATCTCCGACTCCGATGCACAAGACCGTGATTCGACGATCCACTGGTCCTTTCTTCCATTTACTCTCTCCACTCTAACGACTTCAGTATCGAATCGAATCAAGTTGACAAGTTGAAATTGTTGAGCGAAGTGGTTTAGAAACGAGAGCACCTCTTGGTGACCAGGAAACGTCCGCACATCTCCGCCATTTTCTCTCTTCTGGAATGGATAATCCAAGAAACCCATGATCTGGCGAGGAAGGTTAGTCCGGAGAGAGCTGTAGAGACTGCTTTGAACGATTTCCCTCCGAGGACCGAGACTCAGGGGATCTGTCTCGACTCGGGGGTCATAAACCCATGTACCTCCGAGCTTGCTATTCTTCTCAAAAACAACAACTAAGTGACCTTCCCTTTGGAGTTCACGAGCAGCGACTAGACCTGCGGCGCCAGCTCCGATTACAGCCACCTTCAAAGATCGCGCCATTACTGAATCCATATTGAGTTGCAGAAAAGAAAATATTAACAGAAGAATGGAATCGTCCGTTTTTTAACTGCTCCCCAAAAAAAATCCTCCATTAATAGATATTTCTGCAACACCTACACATATGGGCCCTACTAGAAATAAACCGGTGAGAGAGAACTGGGCCTGCTGAGTGCTGGCTGGCGTTGTCTTTTTATTTCTAGCAAGTCTAATAATGCCACGGGAGTTGTAGCCACTCGGGATCTGCTATATCCATGGTCTGTTCCCACATAAACATCTCCCATGGGAGATATTTTTCCAAGGTGCATCTGTAATGTACGGTTGGTGTTGGTAGTCATGTGGGAACAGTCGGAGGGTAACATGATTATGTAAGCATGCGATGACCGACTAATGAGCGCCCAATAAACAGCTACATCCCGATCTGGCATTGTATCGTACGTACGATGTATATGCTCACTGAGACCGGATCTTCTCCTCACATAGGTCGCTTCACACGATCTCACACGCACATCTACCACCACCCATACTTTCAAGGTATTAGTGACGGGATCTGCTCTTCACAAATGGGCGCCTCACAGGTACATCCACCATGCATTGAGAATATTTCTAATGCATAATAGGATGTGCATGTGAGACATCAAGTGTCAGGAGTAGAATTGGTCTCAAGTTGTGATGGGATCTGCTCCTCACAAATGGGTGCCTCACAGGCACATCCACTAAGCATTAGGAACTATTTCCCGTGAATAATAACTAATAAATACGGAAGATGTTCCCAATGCACCATGTATGTACATGTAAGGCGCCCATATGTGAGTAATAGATCCTATTTCATGCTCACTCACCTCCCTAATCCCAACACTGCTAACACGATGGATGGTTATTGGGATTTGTTGGACAACTGACACGAATTACAAGACAATGGTTTGCATTTGTCTTTTTCTTGTCCAAATTCATAAGCCTGAATCTGAATTCCAGCTCAGTGGATCTTTTTCGGTTGGAAAAGATGGTTCTTGCAAGGCCAAGTGGTCGAGGAATACAATGTGACATTTTGAGGTATATATATATATATATATATATATTGTTGAAAGGGAGTGAAGCTAATATGAATGGGCCGCTCCGATTTAGGATGGCAATTTTCTTCATTTTCTTGATTCCCGTGGGGATGATTTTCTCCCTGCTAAGACGGGGAGAGTATTCTCCGCCTCGCGGAGACTCCGATCCTTACCCTGTGGGATCTTCACTAATATATATGTATGTATAAGTTATATATGTATATATGTACACATACATCTATATATTAATATTTTTAAAAATATGGTTGAATATGTTTGAATATTTTCTAATAGGATTGTAAGTTTTAATTATTTTATTTTTATTTTTTAAATAAAATAAAAAACAAAAACAAAATGGTTAACATTATAAAAAATCATGGGAAATGGGGATCCCGTGGGGATAGGGACAACCTTGTCCCCGTTAGTAGGGACGGGGATGGGGAGAGGCTCCCCGTCCCCGCCCCGCCTCGTTGCCATTCCTACTTCGGTTTGACATTTTTTTATTAGTAGTTGGCTTGTTTTTGTGTTGTTTTCTTTGTTTTTACTCTGTAAAAAAATATCTAGCCTAGTGTTTGGGTTATGGTTGAGCTGGCCCCGAGTGCCACGTGTTGCCCCCGTGGTCGCCTTATCACCTCGCCCACATCAGCACCACGTAACTTCCGCGACCCTCCTTATCACCTTAGCCACGTTGGCACCACGTCATATAAGCACAACCAAGACAGGAGGATGTCACACAGATAGGACAACTCCATTGGGGATTAGGTCTTATCCCAAATACCATGGTGGATAACTTCATCCCGACAACCCCAGAAGTCTCATCCAACCAGGACACGGATCTTCGACTATAAAAAGGTACCTCCCACTCAAGGTAAGGGATCCAATTTTTTACTTCCATACCATTACTCTACTTGGACCAGCATTGTTCTCTAATTGCTCGGCCCGATCGATCACTTTTCTCGATTGACTTGAGCGTCAGAGTACCTACCCGGGGATAACTCCTCAGGCCTCTGACTATTTTCTTGGTTTCGAATCTTGAAATGCAGCTTCGTCCTTCCTCCTCGGCTCTGCCTAGTTAGTAGGATTATTTGACTACTACCTTGGTTCAAGAACCACCTCGGATCGAGCAACATCAGATTGGCGCCATCTGTGGGAACACACAAAAAGCCATTCCTAATCCTCTTTTTGTGTAATCAAGTAAGATGCCAAGAAACACATTGGAATGCTCAACAGGCTGATCCCCATCTCGGGGATCTTGCTCTCACTGCAGCCCTCCACCGTGCGAGTTTCAGTAGTAGCCCCAGCCTTAGGTCACGCTCGACCCCGCCCAGTTTCAGGCGATGCAACAGAAGGTCGACCAAATCTTGCCCATGATGCAAACGCTGAACCCTGCACCGCAACCTCCTTAGACTATCCCTCCCCTTGCCCCGACGCTTACCGCGGTTGGTCCAAGCCCTAAGGACCCCAAAAAGCGCCGAGCAGATAGGGGCAAGGAGTAGTTTGACCAAGAAAGGCATACATCAAGAAAATCGAGCTCCTCGGCCCAGTCCTGAGAAAGAGATGACCGAACACACTGAACTACATGGATCCCGACGAAAGAAAGGCCTGATGGACGAACACAACAGTAGTCGGTTTCCATTTCCAAATCCAATTCATCAAAGATCGCCCAACACCACCCAAGAAAGAAAGGACCATGCCTACGACCCCGGATCACAGGGATGCAAAGATCAGAGAACTCCGACAACGCTTGACCAAATTGAAGCGCAACCAAGCCAAAAGAAGTGCAGCCCCTCCCGTGGTCCGACCCGCAGAGCCGAACAACCAGTCCACCAAGGAGCCATCCTTTACCAAGGACATCATGGACGAGCTCCCCCTGGCCAATTGGTTTGCCCCACAATTTGAGAGGTACAACAGATCCACAGATCTCAATGACTACCTTGAAACCTTCAAGGCCTAAATGATGCTGCATGGCTTGTCCGAAGGCCTAATGTGCAAGGCCTTCATAGCAACTCTCAAGGACGTGTCCCTAACATGGTACACCTCCCTTTCCTCACGCTCCATCTCCTCTTGGGAACAACTAGAGAACCAATTCCTGGCACAATTTACGGCTAGAAAGAAACACTGGAAAACTTTGGCAAGTATTTTTCAAGTGCGGCAGAGGAAATGAGAGTCCCTTAGAGAATACATAGTGAGGTTCTACTCCAAGGCTTTACACGATCAAGCACTAAACCAATCGGTGGCCGTTACAGCCGTTATGCAATGCCTCCGCCCCTCTCCATTTAGCTTCTCACTTCTCAGTCTCAAAGAATCCTCCTCAGACTATGGTCATGCTAATGGCCCGTGCCCAAAAATACATCAATGCTGAAGAAGCACAAGCACAACTAAGAGGTGAGGAAGAACAACACGACAAGAAGAGGAGAGACCTTAACGACCATAAGATAGAGAGGGCATACCGTGAAGGGATGAGAGATCCATCAAATGGATGGCCGAACCCTGCAGGAAGGTTGGGCGAAATTTCAAAATTTTCTCTCTCTCCCATGTGAGAATCAAATTCCCTATTTTAGAAAACTGTATTTTCAATGATCAATCTTGAACCTTAACTAGACTAGATCTGAAACCAAAAGGGAGAGGAGGGATATACTTGATACAAAGTAGTAATAACCTCCAATGAAGGTGTTCACGCCTAAGGAAAAAACCAAAGATTGCTTCAATAAAAAATGACACGGTGCAAGATGAAGCAGAATCAGCAGGATGGTTCTTCAGCAAGAACCGAATTCTTCAACAAGAATCTAATGGAGGGCAAGTGAGCATGACTTCAGATTACCTTTTCTGCCAAAAGGTAATATCAAGAACACTTCTTGATCGCTCCCACAGGTGGAGATCGAACTGGTATGGTGGCAAGAGCATGAGAGAAAGAGACAGTGCAGTCAAATAGTGTTGTCTCTCTCTGGAGTTCAATAGTTAGTCAGATGATTTCTGTTCTTCTCTGAGGGTTCGCCCTACTCTCCTATTTATAGCCTTAAAGAAAGGTTTCCTAATCCCATTAGGAGTTTCCTAATCCAAATCTTGTATTTGAATCTAGACTCTTTTTAAGAGATAAGGATAATCCCTTATCTTATCTGTGGATAAAGATCAACCCTCCTAATCTAATTAGGAGTTTCATGATCCAAACCTTTATTTGGATCTGGACTCTTTGAGTGGATAGGAATAATCCCTTATCCTATCTGCTAATCTAAATCCTAGAACCGCCCTCTTTTAATTAATCTCATTAAGCCAGTTCGAATTGGGCTTAGGCCCATTAAGTCCATGTGCTCACTTAGCCTCCTAACTGCTACCCATTTGGTTATCCTTGTAGGGCGTGGGACCCAAGCATTGATCTACACATCAGCCATATGAGTTCAGCCCAGCCTTTGTTACAAGGCCTGGACGAATTCACTGTAGGGAATAGTGAACCCTTGAGTCCATCACCTTGGGTTCTTAATGGGCCCAACATTTACACTAAATGGTCATTGGGTCAAGCCACCTTATAAAAACYHAAKGACTKTGGGCARATGCAAGATTAGYCCATYAGGTATTACCCTCAATGGTCTTACACTTAACCTCTCAACCCATAATGATCAAACACTGCCCGACAAGAGATGACCTGTCCCTCGGCTACAAGG